AACTAGTAACATAAACAGCCATACGACATTTTATACATTACATACACGTACATACAAAAGTATTATTGTTTATATAGAGATAGTTTTACCGTGGAAGCATGTATAAAATTGTTTGCTTTAATACATCTGTTTCATATATTCCTTCCAACAAGTAGTTTGTTTGGTTCCAAGTAGCTCTATCGTGAGGAGATAAATGCATTATAATAATTGAAAAATACTTATATTTCAATTCTCGTCCCTAACGGACTTAGGTAGCGAACTCTAAAAAAGGTCAAGCACAAGAGATCTATGCAAGTCGTAGTGCTACAGGTCTCTGTAGTACTGAGTCCAAACCCTTTATTAAAAAAACGTAGCTAGCTTTATAAGCTACGTTTTAATATAATGGGTATATGGTAGTGAAATTATACATAGTACCTCAGTGCTCAGAAATTGCAATGTATGAGTGATGTTCACCTATATAGAGCGATAGTTGTTATTTTCTATCGTCATCTTAATTCCCATTCCTGTTATTACATTAAAAAAGAGCGAAAATAGTATTTTCTTCTCTTTTCATTATGTTATTCTAAAGGTGATTCTTGGAGTCTATGGGGTACCCGTAGGGCTGGGAAGAAGGAATAAGTTAACCACTGTTATATTGTAGATGTTCATATTAAGAATAGACTACGAATAATCCATGAATAATTAAAATGATCTTGATGATGAATGGCCACAGGCAAATGTTAGCAAATTGATCGTAATGACGACAAAAAATGTAAAACCTTAAAGGGTGAACGTATCTCCCAGTTACAGTTGTAATTGACAACCTGTTTACATGAAAAATTCATGACACTAATGATTGAATCATTCCCGTTCCTTATCACTATTTATAATTTCAAAATGGCCGACAACTGCCAATATATTCACGTGGCAATTAGGTTAATGTGTGATCAACATGTTTTAAAATTCATTTCATTACTTATCTAGTCGATTAAGTTAATACAGGTGTAATGATATATCAAAGGATTCGAACGAAAGATTGACATGTTTTTAATATATTCGATCGTTGTCGATCTTTATATTCTGCAAGACTAAAATGATCTATTTTTAGGAGTACTGCTCTACTCTAAATAAAATGTCGGAACTTTTATTAAGTCTGAGCAAACAATAGTTTTTTTAATAGATAAAGATGGAATAGTGTGTCTATATTAACGAAATGTGCTGGCGACGTCCCAAAAAAGGATAAAAAAATGGATATGAAATTAGGTCATTAGGCGTATTTTGGCAAATTCATTAGGAATGACAACACGTTCTGAGGTAGGTATAGATTATAAAAAAAAGATTTGTATCAAAAATTTGATAATATATAGGTATACGAGGAAACGAAAAATAAAATATAAGAATAATAAGTTTAGTAAGTACGTTTTTATTCTATTGCCTACTTCCTTGAACTTAATGTTTACAATTACAAGAGTTTTTATTACATAATTAACTATTGTAACTTCAGTTAAATCTACTAAACCTTATAATGCATCTTCCAGACAAATTAAATCTACAATTTTAATACCAACTAAACCAATTTTACAACATAAAGTAAGAATTATAAAAGTTTATTTTTACTATAATCACTGAGAAACTGGGCATTAGAAATCATCATATCTATATAAACAAGCAATTACTCTTATTTGCAAAACAATAAAATATACGCGCAATCGAGATACTGCGTGCGCGCATAAGAAAAGCACTTACAATGCAGCGTGTGAATACGATTTTATTGTGGTCTTTATAACATTTATTTAAAACCTTTCTATTTTTTACCGATTAAAAAAATCAATAAGGTCTGTTTTTAATCAACGTTGATAAATTAATGTCGATTATCTCGTTTTGACACCTTTTAATTTAGTTATAATAATAAAGTATTGTGCACACTCGAATTTTCTTTTTCAATGAAACTGTATTTTTTGTTTATACACAGTTTATTATTGCATTGCATTATAATGTAATAATAAACTGTAATAATTTGATATAATTCCTCAATTCAATTGCTTCAATATTTATAATCGTTACGATAAATAAACCTACCTATATATTTCAATAAAAACAAAATAGGTTCACATTTTGAGCGAATATACAGAATAATACGGTACAAATAGAGAATCTTTCTTATTATAATCTGTTAAAACTGCAATATGAAATCTCAAAATGGTTCGTCTCAAGCTTTCTGCAAATCTGTTTAGACTTGCTTCATCCAGTGAAACATTCAAAACTTTCTTCCTATTCTAAGAGAAATATTTTTATGTTTGCCTCCTTGTTACACTTTATGAGGTGGTATAGGGAGCGAAAAGGATAGCTTACATGAAGACGTCACGCCGGGGCGAAGGCGCGCGAGTGTTCTTGCACTTGTTTTATTTATTTTGTGCCGCCATATTTTTTCTTTCCTTTTCTTAAAACTACGTCTTTGTTCGGGTTCGGGGCAGGGTTGCCAGGTCTGTTTAAAAAAAATACTATACAGTGACCAAGAAAATATTTAATCATTTATTTATTAATATTACTGTACAAAATACCTTTGCATAAAACCTACCATAACAGTTGTTTTCTCCATTTACTATTTACATTACATAGTACATTTCAAACAAACATTACTGAATAGAATATACTATATAGGTCAGAATCGGAAACTAAGAATTTTGACAGTTGAATCGCTTATTAGGGAGTTTCTTTTAGGTTGTCAGCAAGCTGAAAGCCTACCTGATGGTAAGGAATAACCATCATCTATACACATGAATATCACGGACATCACGATATCATGTGACAATCGTGGTATCCCAATCGTTGCTATTCTGGAGGACTAAGAAAGCCTCCTACCCTATTATTTCACTTTTTCACAACTATAAACCAACATTTTTATTAAATTGTTTGGAGACTGACATAAGCATGAAAGAGGTATAAAATAAAATCTACCGCAGTAAAAAAAAATATAAAACAATGTCCGTATTTTTTGTTATACCGGACACAGAACGTAGTACCGTATGGCAACCCTAGTCCTGGGGCGAGCAATCCTCTGTGGCTGGTAAGTTGGATAATTTCTTTATTCCACCCAACCTACCCGACAATTTTCTGGAGCCACATTATTATGAGCTTGATTTGTTTAATAATTTTATTACGGCGGGCGTATTGCGTATGCGTTGTGGGGTATGCTGTTTTTCTTTTGTTTTATAGGTTTGCGCTTTTAGCAATCACTTTCCGTTGTAAACTCATCGTAGACCATTGTAAACGTGGGAAATGTATTGTTCTTTTATACTTAGGTAATATCTCTATTTATTTTATTAGTACATTGTAAATTATTTGTTATATTATCAAGATTTATTAAGCTAAATCTATATTTGTTGCATTTTGTTTATCATTTATTATATCTGCACCGCCTATGGTTGACTGGTAGAAAATGCCGCATGGTAAGTATATAGATAAGTCCGCCAAATATATTGTACTATATTTTGTATTGTGTGTTTTGAAGTTAAATAAATCTAAACATTTCTGTTAATCGGTTTTTTTTAAGTAATATACACACACATAACACTTGATTATAAAATCAATCTATATTTATATCTTTTTTTTTTACTGTATATTATAGATAAAGTTAAATATATAAATATATAATATTCTATCTATTAATATTTAATGATTAAAATAAATGTTATGAGAAAAATCACATATTTATTAGGGACTTTTTTTTAATCGATTTTATAAAAAGGAGGAGTTTCTAATTTAACAATTAATTTTTTTATTTAGATAGTACTTCTCACGTGGTCTCCATACAAATTGGCCAAAAGTTTAAATTAACCAGAAGTAGGATTTTTCATGTATAATTATTAGTTTTAAACGGCTAGACATATTACGTCACAGTCAGCGAGTGAACTGGCATAGAAATCTTTTTTTATTGCCTATGGAACCCCACGGCTAGGCCTTGAGGTTTGCACCGAGATGTCCGCGCCGATACTCCGAATGCCATGAATAGAGAACAAAAAAGAGCAACTAAACGTTGCCGTGTGTAGCTTTTGTTGTCGCCTTGTTGCTTTGTGTTGTGTTCCTGTCATTTAGAAATGAGATTGTTGGAACTGTTGATTTTGAATTGAACTATTGTGACGTCGCTAATTCTAAGATATTATCATCTGTATTAGCTGGTAAATGTTATTTTAAAAATAGTAATAAATATAGAATTATACACTTTTTCATGTATATAAAAAGTAGATCCAATTATGAACGTATTATAGCCAAATATTATATATTGGTATTTGTAAGATACAATCTTTAAAAAAACTAGATAGGCCTTGCCGCGCATTTTATAATGATATAACTAAGAATATATGATAATGTAACTATCGGTACGTGAATTTTTTTTCAAACAGTATTTTCAGTGACATCTTATAATAAAAAAACCTTCTTATAAAGTTAGCATAATATAACCCCATATAATATAACAATCCAATAGAAAATGCAACATAGGATGAAACGAATCAAAACCGTGCAACAAAATAGGAGCAGAATGTCTACGTAGTAGGAACAACTGTTATTTCAGTTGCTATCTTGTCCTTTAACGAAGCGAATTCACTAGGAGATAATCACAATAAAATTGTATCCAATATCAATCAGACTGTGTGGAGGACGATTTAACCTGGCTAGTATTTATTTTTTAGCATATAGGGACAAAAGAGCTTGCTTCTCACTTGATTGTAAGTGATTACCGCCGCCTATGAGCACCCGTAACACCAAGAGAATCCCAAGTGCGTTGCCGGCCTTTTTCGAAGGAATAAGCTCTTTTCTTGAATGTTTTGATATCGTATTGGTTCGGAAATACCATTGCTGGAAAGTGATTCCACAATGTGTTTGTGCGTAGCAAAAGTTTCTGCAAGAGACTGCAACTGTGGGTAAGGACCCACAGTTGCAGTCTCCTCAAAGCGACTTCTTTCGAGATTGAACTTAAATAGTATTAACTTAGAATTTAAATTTAATCTCTTTGTCTTCAGGCTTGCCGCGGCGGCGGCAGCGGCGGCTGGAGCTACCACCGAACTGAGCTACCTCGCCGCTCTTCATCCCGCGTACCGCCCTGTGCCATATGACCATCCACTTTACGGTGCTAATACTTTAAGAGGTGAGTACAATATTCTTTGTTTAAGTGCTTGGAATGGCAATGAATATGACGCCCCACCTGGTTTGTGGCAAACGTTGCCTATATTCATACATATCACTAACAGGGATCGAAATTACGGCCTTAGCCGAGGTTTGAAACTTCTAGTGGTGCCCTCAGACTAAGGTCGTATCCGCCAGGCAGCAATTGACATTTAGCCGCTCCATTAGTCCTTCTGCGGGTTTGGAGGGACATCTTTGGAGGAACATCTATTGTTCGGTGAAGCTGTAAAGGCTAGCTGCGGTCAACAACATCAGAGTAATTCGAAAAAAATGCACATCATGTAGTAATGTGATACTTAAGATATGATGTATGTGAGGATTAGGATATTATACTTCCGCTGTAATTTCACTATCATATCTCACCCAACAATCAAAAAATTCTCCAAAGACCAGAGGTAGGTTATAGAATAATAATGATGACCTGTGATAATTTTTATTTATTTTAAGTTATTAATTATTGAATAATAAATCTTGTACAAAAGGCTAGCTTCAAATTCAAAAATAATTTAGTCATCATTTTAGCCGCTTATGAACATAAATTTTTTATATTACAATTTTAATTTTTTCCCTACCGTCCAGTTCAGTTATGAATGCCGTATGTCATTTTCTACCCACTAACCTTAATATATAAACAAGAAGCATTATAGGGTTTTTTTTATGGATGATAATGGTATGGTGCATCCGCCTGCGTTAACGGTTTACGCTGGCGGGGCACCAGTGGAAGATGATAAGATGAACATGAGGTCAGGTCAGTTAGCCCATCGTGACATATTTAGCAGAAATTTATCATGATGGTTTCCAGGGGGAACCGCGTGGAGGTCAAGCTGACATGGTACATTGCAAGTAACGGGGTCATGAGTCCACATTACTAACAATCCCCTTCCCTCCAGCATTATGGGGTAGTAATGGCGAGAACACTGACAAATTGAATTTACTTATATATAACCTACTATACCCAAATATATGGGTATAGTAGGTTATAGTTAGTATGTATAATCTATATATCACATTCGCGTACTAATAAACTGGCTTAACTCAAAAGTACACATTTTAGAATGTAGACTGTAGTCATCAAATATAAAGTCGTTTTCTACTTATTCATATTATGTACAGTATATTTATAGGAATTGATTGTCTGATTTATTATTAATTTATTTAGTCACAATTTAAATTAAATTTAGATGTAATCAACTATGATTTATAAGCGTACTACAGAATATGGACTAATTATATATTTATATATAATTCATTATATAGTAATTAATATGTGTTTTTCCTTATTATGTTCTTGAAGTATATTTATAAATGGGGTTGGTGACTAGTTGTAGTTATATATGTCGCTACACAAACCAACTGAACCTATATAATTAGGTTATATGTAATATGTAATCTTATATATAAAATTCTCGGGTCACAATCTTACAATACTGCTCCGAAATGGCTTGACGGATTTTTATGAAATTTTATATCCATATTCAGTAGATCTGAGAATCGGCTACTATTTATTTTTTATACCCCTAAGTGAGAAGGGTTGTCCACCCTTAACATTTTCTTTAGACAAGTGTTTTTTATTTTTTTAATCTTTAAAAAACCCGGAATAAGACATAGTCTAAAAGGATATCGCCACACAGAAAGCGATAGATATTAATTTATAATAAAGAATAACTGAATCAATACACAATATACTACATATCGTTAATTTCATTAAAAAAAAACAATAGTATGATAAAAGACATAGTAACTGCAAACAATGACGATTTTGAACGCGACACTCGCTATCGTTGCATTTAGCGTGAAATGGCGTACAGTCAGCCGCAATATTTATGACTCTTTCTGAAGGAGATTCTGTTGGAGTAATTTCGTAATGTTAAGTAATTGTATATTGTATGGACTGTGAGGTCTAGTAAATAATTATTTTGAATTCTATTTTAAATATTGTATTAGAATAGACAATATTTTAATTTTTAAAACTTATACGCATTTTGCACTAAGTACATAAAATAAAAAAATATTATAATAGGCCCAAACTTGAACATCGCTTAATACTATAATATGACACACAATAATAAATTAAACATTAGAATTTAGAATGTATTTATAATTTACGTCAACCCCAAATTAATGGGTTAAGGAATAAGCAGATAACATAATAACAACATCTTAGCACAATTAACACAGCGCCATCTAGTCCCTCAGAGTTTTTATTATTTTATTATTATTAATATTACCTACTAGACAACTGATATAAATACATACATACATGTTTTTTTTGTAAATATTGAGAAGATGATTATAATCAAGCACATTTTTTTATTATATTTTAAAAACGACAGTTATTTTTAAGTTATAAGATTAATTTCGACGGACTGTACTTAACATATATGCTATGATAAAGCAGCATGTAATATTACACTCTCGCTGCAAATCACACACTCAAATGCGCACAATAAAAATGCATGCAGTGTTGTGTTCCCGAGATATTTATGGCGTATAATAAACACGTAGGTAGACGAATATAAATATTACTAAGGGGCTGAGCACACGAGTTCTGCGAACGAACTGTTTAAACTGTTTAATCGCATACATGTTAATGACGCTTAATAATGATCAAATTTATTGGTTCATTTGCTCCGTGATTTTCAAAATTATATTATACTAGCTGTGCCTACGGTTTCACCCGCGTGAAATGTATAGCCTTTATGTTATCATGATGTATAAGCTATTTTACTGTAAGTTCCATCAAAATCCGTTCAGTAGCTTATGCGTGAAAGAGTAACAAACATCCGTCTAAACTCACAAACTTTCACGTTTATAAAATTAATAAGATGTTTGATTAACTCGAAGCTTTGAACGTAAAACTCAACTATGTGAGGATATACGATATTTCATTATTTTACGCAAAAACGATTGAATGAATTCTAATTAAATTTAATAAAAACATAAATAATATGTGAGGTTAACATATAAGGCCCTTTTTAAGCCAATTCAAACAGGCAATGCAACTTTGCTGCTAGTATTTAATGATTGGTAACTGAGGACTATGATGGCATACCTGTCGTTTTACTGTCACCCTGTAATTTCACTGTCTAATAGTTACCTGCAGTTGAAACACATTGATGTCCGAAATAGATGAGACTATGGTACCCACCCAGATGATATTTACAATAGAAATACAAATAGAAAATAATTTATTCAAATAAACTTACATTGAAGCACTTTTGAATAGTCATAACATTTTTTTTTTAATCTACCGCTCATTCGGAGTTCTGTCTCATCACAAGAAGAACAAGCAAGAAACTTGTGTGTTGCTCTTTTAAATAATTTATTCTTACTTACAATGTCTCTCCTTCACCATTATAATGTTATCTTTACATAGTATAAAACAATTTGCCACAGCTGTCTGTTCGCTTATATCTTTTAAATTACGCAACAGAATTTAATGCAGTTTTCTGAAATAGATAGAGTGATCCAAGAGGATAGTTTATACGTATAATACTTATATAATATAGTATAGAATAAGCCAAGAAATTCAAAGATTTGTAATGCATCACTGTGAAGCCGGGACGGGTCGCTAGTCTTACTAATATTATAAATACGAAAGTTTGTGAGTATGGATAAATGTTTGTTACTCTTTCACGCAAAAACTACTGAACAGATTTTGATAAAGTTTTACAGGAATACAGCTTATATATCAGAATAACACATAGGCTATAATTTAAGAAGATATTAGGTAAGTTGGTGCTTCAACAGGTCAGCTAGTTATGGATGGTAACAAAATACGTCGAAAAATAGCACTCTAGTTGTATATATATTATTATTCCAATGAAATGTATATTACTTTAGTACATTTGATAAATCTTCATTTAAATGCAACAAAAATCGACACCACGTTACTCATAATGCCCGCGAACCACGAGCTTTACACTATCGGCGCAATTTATCTATACACTGAGGTGTTAATTAGGATTTGAACTCACGACTGCTACCATTCATTCACTAAACTCATCTAATACAAAATGCACCGTATTACCAGCGTTTAGAACACAATATTGCACGTATTCGTGTGTGATGAGAGATAAGTAAGAGTGACTATTAAGGGAGAGACGGCGTTTAAGTCACGGGTCGAAATTGGCATGCATTTTAGTAACGAGCTTTGGTATTTCGACCTTGCAATGAAGACCTTCCGGGCTTATTACCGTTTAAGGTATTTATTAACGTTATATATATAACTCATGTTTGTTTTTATAAATATACCTTCACGATTATTATAGCTGATGAGGAACACAAGTATCGACGTCGTAGTTAATATAATACTAATTTAATTAGGCCGAGGCCTAGCAGTTTAGCAAACCGCTTTACTTCCTATGATCGCGGGTTAGATTCCTCGCACGGTACAGACATTTGTATTCATGAATATGATTGTTTGTATTTCATATACAGTAATACCTCGCTTAACTCTGTTTTGTTTAACACTGTTTCGGTTTATCGCTCGTTTATTTCAACTCAGGGATTCGGAACAGAACGGAAAGACATCGAGGAATAGTTCAAGAAACAGCAGTTAGTGTTTCTTATAATGAGCTCAAGGAATTAACTGAGTAAGAAGATAAAAATGTTGATAGTAGTGATTCCGAAGAAAAGAAAGATAGCCTAGTTTGACGCTGTTTCATTTAGCGTTGAAATTTATTGGAACGTATCCCCCGCGTTAAGCGCGGTCCTACTGTACTTAAGATAAGATTTTTTTATTTCTCATCTGAACAGTAATAAAAAACAAACTTCTAGGATACAAGTAGTTATTTATATTGCTTTACTCATATTCCAATAATACCACTTGCGCAATAAACCGTGGCTACAATTGAAATTAAAATGATGCGTTTGTTTTTTGTTTTGTATTGATTTAATGTTAATTGTTTAATGTTTTCCTTGTTTTCGTAACTGTCAATTTCTTGGACATTCAATTTTAAA